GTCTCTAGGTCATATCCAATGGAATGCCCGTGGACTTAAAAAAAAAAAAAAAAAAAAGCTGTTCTTTTTAACTTTATTCATCAAATAATCCTGGATCATGTGACACTGAAGACTGGAGCAATGATGCTGAAAATTCAGCTTTGCATCACAGAAATAAATTACATTTTAAAGTATATTAAAATAGAAAACCGTTATTTTAAATTGTAATAATATTTCACAATTTCACAGTTTTTTCCGTATTTCTGATCAAATAAATGCAGCCTTGATGAGCATTAGAGACTTCTGTAAAACACATTACAAATCTAACTGATCCCAAACTTCTGAACAGCAGTGTATTTCTCCTGAATTCTTTCACGGTGTGCGTGCTTCACCTGCTGAGCCGTCTGGATCCTGTGGTTCTCCAGCTCCAGCGTCTGAAAGCCTTGCAGAAGCACCTCCTCTGTGGACTCGGGCAGAGTCGCAGTGAACGCCGAGCGCAGAGAGCGAGACGTCAGGCTGCAGATGTCCTCGATGGGCAGCTGAGGAAACATTCAGAGGAGCATCACATCTCATCTCACTCACGGTTACGAGTGAGGAACAACGATGGTTTCAATGCATCAGATGACTCCTCATCTGTATATATATATATGTGATCCTGGAGCACAAAAGCAGTCTTAAGTCGCTGGGGTATATTTGTAGCAATAGCCAACAATACATTGTATGGGTCAAAATTATCGATTTTTCTTTTATGCCAAAAATCATTAGGATATTAAGTAAAGATCATGTTCCATGAAGATATTTTGTAAATTCCCTACTGTAAATATATCTAAACTTCATTTTTGATTAGTAATATGCGTTGCTAAGGACTTCATTTGGACAACTTTAAAGATGATTTTCTCAATATCTTGATTTTTTTGCACCCTCAGATTCCAGATCTCAGCCAAATATTGTCCTATCCTGACAAACCATACATCAATGGAAAGCCTATTTATTCAGATGTATATATGATGTATCAATTTCAAAAAAATGGACCCTTATGACTGGTTTTGTGGTCCAGGGTCACATATGGCAGCAGTTTCATTCACAGGTGTATTACAGAAAATAAGGAAAATAGCATATTTCATAAGCAAACATATCAATTTTGTAAAAATGTATTCGATTTTTAAAGTTTAACATTACTCGATAACTGTTCAATCATTTTAGATCAGGTGTTTTCAGTTTTTTAGATGCCACAGATCCTTGCATGACCCTAAAATATAAAAGATTATATATTTCACAATATATTTTAATGTGCATAGAGCCAATTTATACAGTGAAAAATTAATGCGTGTAATTTTTTTCTACTCTATATGGCACTGTACTGTTGGCTGTATTTTTTATTTAATTTTTAATACTGATTTATTATTTGAATAAAATATTTATGCATTTAGTTTAATCTTATTTGTTTTATTATTTATTTATTGTTTGTCTCTAAACTTTTTCCCAGACCCCAGAAACTCATAACACGTCTTAATATCTCAGTTAAATCATTTTAGTCAGGTGTTTACACAGAGCCCCAAATATAATCATCATTGTGCAAACCTGAAATGTAAAAGCAAGTGATATATTTTCATGTGTAAAGAGCCAAATTATACTGTGAAAAATTAATGTGAAAAAATATGTGTAAAATATTATTTGGAAGATATTTAGCATTCATTTATTACTGTTTTTATTTATTTATTTTAAGCTTATTTTTTATTATTTATTATTATATTTTGATAATGATAAAAATAAGCTTAAAATAAATTTAAAAAAATAAAAAATTAAAGATTATTTATTATTATTATTATAAAAATAAGCTTAAACTAAATAAATAAATAAATGTGATTTAAAATAATAAATGGATACTAAATATTTTCCAAATATTTTACTCATATTATTATTCATTTATTCTTACATTTTTTACTCTGTTTTTCTTCAACTTTTTCCCATATTTAGTTTCTATTACATTACCTTTTTCAACTTAGAGGTATTATTTAATATTGTACAATATATTATTTATTGACATTTTTACCGTTTTTCTCTAAACTTTCCCCAGACCCCAGACTGAAAGCCTGTTTAGGTCACAGGGGTTCTGCTGGCCCAAAAGTTTGTGAACCCCTGCTTAAACTAGCAGGTTAAGCATTACTAACTCGTCTAAAAGTGAAAAGCTAGTCTTGTTTAACTGAACGGACTCATTAGCATACTGCATGGATTACAGACGTGGCGCACTCCTCCACATACTAACAGATCGACAGCCACTAACCTCCCCTCACCAGCCAGACGAGGGTCTGAGCAGACCGAGTGTACTTCCTAGTGCACTACAGAGCAGAAGTGTGACTCACAGACCCGAGAGGACTGTGTTTGTGCTGTTAGCTCACAGGCTACAGCTGCTACAGCTCCACTCACCTCAGCGGGAAGAAGCGCCACTTCTGCGGCTGCGCGGATCTCGAGGACCGACTCCGTCTGTTTGTCCGTTAACGGCGCCATCGGATCCGCGCGACGGTCCCAGTGTGACACTTTCTCCCGAGTTTCCTTATCAGTGAGCTCTAGGAGACTCTGCTCTGTGGACGACGCCATCATGGCCAACAACATCCGACGTCACCTAAACGGAAGCTTCATCCGGGTTGGGCGGGGTCAAGACGCAGGCAACCAATCAATGAAGCGCTTTCACTTCTACGACACCAGCAGATAATAAATGCACTCAAACTCCACCAGACCTGCATTACATTTCACTCATATATTAACAGGAAAACAAAACTATAA